GTCTTTCTCCGAGGCGCGATCAAAATCTTCACTTAGAACGTTTACTCGGACGGCTACGGTGCCTTTCCTCTTGCTTTTCATTAATCTTACAAACGTTGCGGTAATTCCCTTTTTATTGATATAGTTTAAAATTAACTTATCTGTTACCCCTTCGCGTACGCCCCCTAAATAGAGTCGTTTTATTTTCATCTTTTCAACTCCAACAAATAAATCATGATCATCGTTAACACTGCTTGTTGCTGAATGATCACTGTGAGCTTCATGACTGTGTTGCTTATTCGGGCTGTTGTTTTCCTTTGCCGGTTTCAGTAATTGAGAACTGTCTTTGGAGCTATGTTTTGTTGGATTAGTTTTTGGAACACTCGAGTGATTTTCTGGGCTCAGATTTGCATTTATGTTTACAGCTGCTGCATTTGTATTTTTATTAGCCTCAGGAGATAGGATTTCAATAGTTGTCGCTAATGGATTTTCTCTAATTGATTTTGCTTTGTTAGTTTACTTTAACTCAGAGATCTCGTCTTTAAGGCATGTCACAGTCTGATCAAAGTCTTCTCTCAATGTACAAAATTTTATATCTAAATTTTCAGCTAAACTCGTAAATCAGTACAGTTCGTTATTTTTTGACCTTGCGAGCTAGTGAACGACATTTCAGGATGTACAGACGAAGACCTTTTAAACAATTCATTGATTTCAGCTGTCATTTCTTCTGGACAACAGTATTTCACTAAGGCAATAATATCACTTGCCAATTTTTCGTTTGCAGATTTCCCCCCAGAACGGGTTCTTCTACGTCAGGGTTTATCTTTTGGAAAGTTAGGAAATTTGTACCTGCAATATTCCATGATCTTGTCTCTTTTACCGTGTAACTTTGCCGAGGAATCCTTCGATAATTTTGCTTTAACCGGTGCGGTCAATGTCGTTAAAATTTCAGTGTTTAATTCTTCTACAAGCTTCTGTGTTTCGCCATTATTCCCGTCCATAACCTTGTCAGTCCCTTCTGAATGATTATCGATCAAATTTATTAAAGACTGAGCCAAAATTAGGTTATTATTTGACTTTTGAGTGGAGCTTGAAATTTCATGACCGTCCTCCATGACAGCAGAGAAATTTTCGTACTGGTTTTGCCATGTACACGTTTCTCCAAACATTTTCTGGCGCCAATAATAGACACCACTGTGTCCACTTCCATGTATGTACTGTTGTTTCATCAATCGACACGAGTACTTTCATTTCTTTACAATTTCTGCTGGAGTTTAAAATCTTTATTACCTCCAATTTCTGAAGAGTATTTTACAAGAAAGTATATATCATTACACATATATACACACATACATACTTATACACACAAATAAAGCTAACTAACTAATTAACTAGCTACTTAAATTGAAATTACACTAGTTTGAAAACAAGATGAAATATAACATGCAGATTGCAACAAATATAACGTCCACAGTTCCATATCAAAGCATAAAGTTTCTGATTGTAAGCCTAAAAGAGTAAGCATAAAATCCGTGTCCGATAATGTTGCTAAATAAACCGCAACCTCTAAAGGAAGATTATCGTTTACCCAGTCCCACAATAGTTCACGCTCGTTTTGCGAACCTAAGCAATAAAGCAGAGCATGATTAACAGGATTTAAATAGTTACGATTGCATGAGTCACAATAGTCAATGTACGTATTAGGATGATCCACACGCTTCCCCCTGACCTTGTATGAGCCACATATTAGTCTTATGACGTTATTAATCTCCTTCATGAAGGATGGATTCTTTCTTGCTATTATCCACCAATGAGCAACTTCATTCTTTGTATGAACCTTAGAGTAGAGATATAGTTGATTGTTCTTACTAATCTTTTCTCGCCAAACACTATCATATTGCTCTCGAACATGTTTATTGACAGTCTTTTTCCACAGAGTTTTTATAGGGAAATCATTTGTGAGAATATAAGTGATTAAAACTTGCAAAAGGTCGTACTTTGCGAGAATTTCAACAATGTCTGGCACAAATCCGGTTAATTTTTTGCCACAGTTCCACTTTCACCTTAGTAACCTGATAAAGAAGACACGGCGGCATGGTGCACCGGCACCCATGTTTATCAATCTTCCCAGAAAATACAATTTTCGCTTATTTATCTCCGCTTCAACTGAAAGTAAGCCGAGAAGTCCCCGTGCCGCAGACCCAGACGTTCCTGGTAATAGTCCCTGCATGATCCTGACCATGATATTTTGGACCTTTTCTAACTCAATATAATTGTTCATTTTCAGCTGCCAGAGCTCTGATCCATACAGGAACTTTGGAATGCCAATCTTACGCCATAAATTAGACGAAACCATAGGATTTAATCCTCCGTAGCGAGTACCAACAGCCATCAACATAAAACAGACTTCTCTACCCGCACATGTTGCTTTTGAAACGATTTCCTTACTGTCTCTATTTGCAAGCCAAAGTTTTCCGAGATTTGACCACGACCCCTTTTCAGATAAAATCTGGGAACCAAGTTTCCAAGCTCTCGACCTATTGTTTGCTTCGTGTTCTTGCTGGCTCTCTCCAAATATTAATATAACTGTTTTCGTAACACTAAAATTAAATCTCCATTTTTGGCTGTATTTCCATGCAGTCTTTAGCATCCTGTCTAACCCGGATTTCAGGCGCGATAACATTGTTAAATCATCTGCGAACATGGGTGAGCCAAAATATAGTGAACCCTATAGGAAAATTCCTGCTTTGGCGTTTTTTAACTCCTCAATTAGATCGTCAATAAAGACAAGGAAGAGCCAAGGTGATAGCACTCCCCCTTGACGTGTACACTGATAAAGATTGTAAGTACGTGATGCTTTTCCTCCGATAAACACGAACTCTTTCATGTCTATATACTCCAATTTTTAATAAGCCTCCATGTTTTCCCCGCAATTCCTTTGTTGTAGTGCAGCTTAAATAACATTGCCTCAATCCACATAGTATCAAACGCTTTTGTAATATCCATATACGCTACGTAAACTTTTTCTTTTTCTTCGCGACAATGATTTACTACTTCATCGATGACGAAACACGGGAGTGAATGGGAGTGAGTGAGTGAGTGAATGAGGAGTGAGTGAGTGAGTGGGAGTGCCCATTGAGGAGTGCCCAATGTCCAAAAAGTGTTTGGTCGAAGGCTCGAAGCTATTGTATATCAAGCTACAGTTTCTACCAACGACAATAGTCCACCTCAAACATACGTTGGTCTGACTGAAAACGCTTTTAAAACTAGATATTACAACCACAAAACCTCATTTACTTTGTACGAGAAAAGGAACTCTACTGAACTTAGTAAATATATCATGGCAGTTAAAGCGCAAAGGAATTGAATTTCATATTAAATGGCAAACCTTGAAACGGGCCAAACCCTACAGCCCTGCTTCTAATAGGTGTAATCACTGCCTGTGGGAAAAATACTTTATTATATGTAAACCTGAACTGGCTACTTTGAACAAACGGAACGAATTAGTGTCTTCATGCAGACATGCGAAAAAATTTCTTTTAGCTAACATTTAAAGGGCATGCACTCGCGACAGGCATATTTTTGTTTTAAATATACCGCGCAATCTTAATAGCT